GAAGTTAGTATGAATTAATTGTTAACAACTAGGAATTCGATTTCCAGACCATGTGAACATTTCACCCCTTAAATGAGGCGCACGATCATCTTTTTTGGTGGAGTTCACAACGGCGTTAGAAACTCAGAACTCCAACCATTTCGTCCAAACACTTAAGGCTTGGGATCAAACCATTGGGTCTAAAGGCCTGGTTCTGCTGCAGATGCTGCTGCGTCACTTACTTCATTGGGGTCTTCAGCAGGGGCTTCAGAGGCACCGTTAATTGGAATGATTTCGATATTACGGTCTTCATTATCCTTTAATTCATGCTGCCTAAAGGTATGCGAGGTCAACTCCTTCTGGTCAAAGTTTCGCCATATTTGAAGGATTCTTTTCCAAACTGAAATTCCAGGGTCAAAGTAGACAAGAGCTAGTGGTCCAGTCACCCCGACAATGAGGAAGAGGCCCCAGAACAATCTTAGACTCTGTCTGTTTGAAGAAAACAATGTCCTTGAATCAGGACAATTGGTTTGTTTCTTCCCTGCTGCATTTTCAATATCCCCTGTTTATTACTTTCAGTGACATTTAGGATTGCGCTCCAATATTCAGTTTCCCACATCTCCATTTGTTTGGTTGCGTTAGTTTTCCTTTCAAGAAATTCTCGCATCACTGTCACACTGTAAGATGGAGGCAAGGTGCATGGAACCGTATCGCTAGGAGATGTCACCAATGACTTCTCCATAAATTTCCTCCACCTTCGAGTTTCAGGACATGCCATTCCTTCTGGACAAAGCTCGACCGCTCCCTCTGGAACTTCTGGCCTGAATTTGGGCAGTTTCGCATACTTATTTAACAAATGAAACATGTAATCGAACCCAACATCTATGTTCAACTCTTTTTCAAAGAGCTTGACAGTGGCCTTTTGGATGAACTCTACCTTATCAGGATGAGTGTTGCCCCATTCAACGGAAAACTTTAGAGAGGCGCACTTGGTATCATCTTTAATGGGCCAATAGTGCTGTAATGGAAGCAACCCTTTACTAAAGATGTCGAAGAAATGAGATTTCACATACAAGTCATGGAATCATAGGCTAGAATGTATTTTTCACTCACAGGCCATGCTATCTCCTCTATATATATCTTGTACCTGTTTTAAAAATTAGAAACAAGTAACTATTAATTTTCATTTTGTGATATTAAATTAACTGTTGATAGAAAGTCCAACCCCATGTGAACACATGGACTTTTCATTTGGTGAAAACCTAACTAGTTGTGAGCTAACATTTGCTTTGTTGAAATCATGCAAGATGGCATGTTGACCCATTTAATGAACAAGGAAAATCATGGACCGATAGTAATGAGGCAAAGAAAAATAGTGCATGAGTGGTTGGATTTTTCACTATGAATACCCATGTATGCAAAGGCAATGGACAAGCAAGAGAAGAGCTAAGTGAGTGAGTGCTCTTGTGAGAAAAAGAAAGAAAAATTATGAGAAAATCCTTGTGTAGATTAAAAGTAGATTAAAAGAGAGTATTAAGGAGAATTTCAGAGTTTCTACATATTGAAATTAGGATGTTAAGAGTTTCTCGAATGAGAGAGTTTTTAAATTATTATACTCTTTTTTTTTAATAGTGGATTCATTTTTCTTTTTCCCGTAGACGTAGACTTATTGAGAGGTGTACAAGTCGAACCATTTTAAATAGTTATCTTAATTTCTTTATCTCTTTCATATGTGTGGGATTATGATGCTCAAAATTCCCAACATTAACCAATTCAAGTATGGGCAAGTGGATAATTAGGAGATAACTGAGATTAATTTGCCTGTGGGTGCATTGGTCTTGGAGATTTGATTGTCTGGATCTATATCTTCTCTCTGCCCCACTCCTAACAAAATCAAGAACTTGATGCAGTTAATCAAGAAATCTGAGTGAAAAATCAAAAACAATTACTAGTAGAAGATACATATATAGTGAAAGAATTTAATTACCATAATGTATAAACATGCATTCCAATCTTTTTTATTAGTGACGGTGCACTCCATAAGATCTCCTCTGGCACGACCGACGTATTGGTTTCCTTTCCAATGTGCATAGGGCACTCTGTCTTTCCAGTTAATCCTCTTAGTACCTTCTTTTATGTCCTTCAACATATTCGTCCATGGCCTAATGTTCACCTCTGCTCTGTGTGAAGGAACGTGTTAGAGATCAATACTAGATAACTGATACAAACCAAGTGGGGATTAAAAATTGATGTGATATATTAATTGCTAGTCCCAGAAGCACCAATCAGGGAAGACGATATCCATGAAGGGGAGCAGTAGAGGAACAAGGGTGGGGGGCAAGCTTTTGGACCTTGAAAGTTCCAGCAGGGGATCACTGGAAGATCACCACATTCAAACATCATGTCCAAGTCGGGCAATCTTCCAGGGTGCCATCTCAGAAACTGTAGGATTCCCCACAAAGAAAACACATCCCTAGTCTCATAACACCCCATGTACTTTTGTAAATTGGCCTTCCCGTTCACAATGACCAGCCTGAAATTTGCAGACTTACGTGCCAGTTCCACCATGTCTTTGGTGACTCCGGTGTCCCTCCACGGCCGTAGATCCTCATGGATCCACCGGAAGTATGATGGACACATGATACCAGATAAATTGTCAGGATTGGTGACGTTGTCTGTGGTGGTGAGGTACTTTGATATTGGACATTTAATTTGTTTGATCTTCGCAATTCAGGGGATTCGAGAGGGTTTGTTGCTGAACCGACAAAACCTAAGTAAAATATAGACTGTAAAATAGAAAATCAGAAAATCAGACAGATTATAAGCTTAATTTCTAAGAAAACAAAAAGAAAGCTATGATTTGGTATACATACACATGCTCACAACATCAAACCAACCCATGAAGGCTGAAAGAACAACGAAGACGAGGAGAAAGATGACAGCGAGGGGAAAAGCCAGGAATTTTAGTAAGGGGAGGTAGGGTTTTCAAGTCTTAAAATAATGTATTGTAATTTTGAAAACTTATTTTCATATCATATATTAAAATAATACTTGACGAGTTTTTATGTCACAAAATCTATTTATAATATTATTTACACTAAATGATTGAATTATTTTTTTTTCAATATAAATAATCAAAAAGTTTGAGAGAGATTCACCCTCTATTTTGCTGCGAAGTTTTATTTTTACAATTTTCGTGATCGAAAATACTTTTTCTAGTATTGCTATAGAAACTGTAAGAGTAAACATCAAAGTAATTAACTTGTAAATGAAACAATAGACCTTTGATTTTCTTGTCTTTATAAGCTATTGATGTAGTTTAGAAATACGGTAACATCCTATTTCTTCACTCTACCACTTTCTACAAGCAAACAATTTTTTTTTCCCTTTTTACAAACTAATTACACTTTATATGAGTTTATCTTTTTTTTAAACTAATTTATGTTCCTATTATTTTTCTCTATATGACTATATCCAAGGTTTTTCCTTTTATTGGATTCATATATGTTCCCTTTATGGATTTGTACTTTTTTTTTTTCAATTTTTTATTTCGATTTAATTCTATTTCATATAACTTCAATATAACTTCAATATTACCATAATATTCAATATTACCATAATATTCAATATTATTTGTTTTCTCTATATGACTATATCCAAGGTTTTTCCTT